TTACAAATTGCGCAGTGGGTTTGTCATGGAGTCAGCATAATACCCCCCTGACGCCGCCATAACGGCTGTCACATGCAGGTTGTACTTAGTAATTTAATCTAATTGCAGTGTAATGTAACTGATACTTGGGTGGCATGAGGGAAATGAGTCTGCAGGGAAAGGGATGTAATTAATGAATTGATTACAGGGGCTCTGGACTGACAGGCCAAGCTCCTGTAAAGTGATTGGTTGTGGCGATTGAAATGAGGTAGCCTTGGGAGTGGTGTGCGTATGTGTAGTGGTTCGTGAACTGTACAAACACGGGGAATGAAAACGCCTGGTGCAGGAAATCTCACTCTGGCCGTTGTTATAACTTTTCCACTGATAAGTACTGGCACACACTGTGTCCATATAGGGAGATGTCAAAGCATGAAACTAGATAACACACACTTGGAAAAGGCATCCAGATGGATCCATGCGTGAAACAGTCTTTTGGGTGAGATGAATTAAGTTTGCTGTAAGAAACTGGTGAATACGGAGGTGAATAAGAGATGGAAAGTGTGTTATGACACACCAGCATTCACAGATGTGGGCTCTTTATCTGGGAGTGAGATATCAAAGTAGCCTGGTATTGATCCCCGGGAACAATCAATATGAAGCCATTGCACCTTTGTATTTGTTGCTCAGCAGTCTGCCTTCCTCTGAAAAGGGTGCTCATGACACCAAAACTGATGGCAGTGTGTGCATGCTCTTGTGCACGTACAGTATATATTCTGTACAGTATGTGCGTGTGTGTGTATCAGACTACTATGGGCTGAGGTGTCTTGCAGTGGCCTCTGCATGCTGTTTGTGCAAATGGCTATCCATGTGTGTACATATCTAAGTATGCAAGGTAGGCTTACTGTTTGTGTGTTTGGTGCAGCAGCTGACAGGTCCAGTAATACTGACAGGACGCAGGCAGTTCCCATGAGGCCATGCATGCTGACAGCAGCTGGCCACGAAGAGAACAGCTGCTGATGGGCTTCCACTACAAAGAGCCCACACAGTGCTCTCCCCTTCATCCCTCTCGCCTACTATAGATACATATTAACTTCATCACTTTATTTAAATGTCTGTGTATTATGATATATCATCCCACTTTGTCTCGCTCTTCCTTTGTAATATGAAAACATTCCTTCTCTGCATTTAAGACACACACACACACACACACACACACACACACACACAGGGACACGGCAACCTTTGGATCTTGAGGGAAGAGAGGATGGGGAAAGAAAAAAAGCTGGTTATCGATTTTCCCATGACACCCCTCATTGTCCAATGTCTATGCTTGACCGGCCCTTGCCTACGCTGCTTTCTCCACCACCTCTCCACCACCTCTCCCACCTTCATCATTATCCCTGGATTTACACATGTTTCAGGCACAAATAGGGTACTGGCACACATTAAAAGAAAAAAAAGGACACACATATACCCACTCAGGCACGCCTCTGCCCTTCTTTAGACCTGATCCTCAATCAGTTGTATGTGGAGCTATGATTTAGATATGCAAACAGGACATGGCCAAGTTTAATCAAAGAGGATGAGCTGTGCGTATCTGTGCAAATATGTGGCTTTTAAATAAAATCCCCTTCTCATTTGAGAGCGGAGAAGAATTCAGATTTTACAGGCCATTTCTGTGTTTCTGTTCATGTATATAAAAGAAGACATTCTGTACAACAGGACTGTGCTAAAAAAACACCCCAATGTACTGGTAAATTGTAGCCTGGGACCAGACGACTCTGCCGAGCTCATGATGTTTCATTAGCTCTGGCAAATGCGTTTGGCCGCCCTCCCATTCAGACAATTTTCCACCCGTCTTGGTTCTGGGCGGGCCAATCACAGCCGTTTATCTAATATGGGGTGGGTTAGAGACGATGATTGACAGAGGAGTGTCACCGGTCCAGATTTGAAAAGTAAAACGTTTCCCTGCTAATTGATTGCAGTCTATCCTATTGCGTCCAGTCTGCAAGTCCATCCAGCGTAATGCAGCAGGCTCACGAAACTCACATCAAACTGTCAAACAACAGAAGTGCTGATTAAATATGAATCAAGATTTTCTTACTTCTATGTCTCGCCACAAATGTTTTTAGAAACATTTTGTGTATTGGTTAGCTGTAATATGAAAAGGTTTGTGAGCAGGCGTCTTGGTACGTCTTGTAGATATGTGACAATATAGATTTAAAACATTAACAAATTGGATCTAATCCATAATGAAGTAAAACACAAATGAATTACAATTTAAAACCATACAGAATAAAAAAATAGTAATGTTAACACATTCCAGAGTTTATTTCGAGCTCTGTTGGGATCAAACATGAAAGCATCCTTTTCAAACTGTGACTTCTAGAAACTGAAGCAACTAACTAAGCTGTATGTAGAGTTTGTCCAGAAATTCAAAAAGGATATAAGCAGGAGGGCAACAAACCAATAACGTGATGACCTGAACATGGGTCACTTGTAACAGCTGGTTGGATGGCAGACTTGTCTCCGCATGAATACAGACACATTGTCATTTACTTACTTTAAGGATAAAGGTAAGCCATGCCAGGTATCTCAGTGGGAGCTGGGTGCTGGCTGTGTCTGGGTCTGGCAGCAGTTCTATACCTGAAGCTTGAGAGAAGGAGAGGACAACGTGGCCAACAGCTGCTTGTCTGTCTGTTCTGTCTACCAGCTACAACGCCTGCAAACCTTACTGCCAAGTGCATACAATCACAATCTGAATTCCACTGTCTGTATTTCACGGCCCAGTAATCTATCCTATTGTATATTTCCATTCCTCCATAGCACTTAGTCCAATTTTGCTTTTGACCAGTCTGATGCGAGTGTCCAGCTTTGATATTTGGCTCACTTTAGGATTGCACTGCATCTTTAGATAATGTTTGGTGTTATTGTGTTCCCGGTTTAACATAAATCAAATATATCCAAAAGGGAACGCTGGAGCTTTGAATATCAAGTCAATATTTACTACAAAGGTATGGCTCATTTCCCTTGATGGTTGCTGTTTCCATTACTCAAGCTAAAAACATATCAGTTCATGCAGAATTATTTCCCTGCTTTATTCTCTATATAGTTTTGAAAAGCCTGAATTATTAAATGCACACATTCTCCCAGGAGTGTCAGTGCTTTAAATTTAGAAGCATGTAAATGTGAATGCACGCATATACACCCACCTATCCACCCACCCACACACGCAAATTCCCCAGCAATATTTTCTTCTTATTTTGCAATGCTGTTATTTCACATTCCCTGCATCACACCGTACTGTCTTCTTCTTTTAAAAGGTAGTCTTGCAATCAACAAAATACCTAGCATCTCGCTGTATTTCTCCTCTCAACTCACTGCTTCCTTCTGTCTTTCTTTTCATCTTTATGAAATGGGATACAGCCCCTGCTGATTTGTCCAGTATCTTTGGCCCATAGGGCTGTCGAGAAGAGAGGCGAGCTGAGCCACAAGCAGCTGTGTTCTGCCTGCCATAACTTTGGGGAAAGCTCAAAACTGGTAATTGCCACGCTGTGCTGTGCAGCTTGTTATGAGATAGACACTGTACAGTGGATAGGTGACTGGACCCTGTGTTAATTATAGAGCCAAATGCTCCAGAAAATTCATCGCTTCAGTTGAATTCTCACAGATGTACCCTGAAATGTAACACCCTGCAATGGCAATATGACAAGAAGATACAGTGTCAAGAATCTGATAGTGGCTAGCATCACATGTTGCACAGTGCAAATGTATGCCTGGAAACGTTTACATTTTAGTAAGCCCAAATGGAAATAACAGCTCATTATTAAAATGTCCCCTTGCTGGCATGTGCTGTGTGAGGTGGTGGTGATAATGAAGTTCATTATCCAGTCACTCCAGTTTTCTGAAAGGAACACTTAATTGTAGGTTTGTAAGCAACATCTCAGGTATGTATAAAAAACAAGGTATGTGACAGTTAACGTTTTTGCACATTTACAGGTCTGCTTTATGATTCTAAAATTGCTTTTATGTATAATATTATACTCAACTTGAAACAGCTCTAAGTCCTGAACCAACCTGACTCTAAACAAGGACTGTCATAAAGACAACCTCTTAAGGTTTCAGTGTCACTGAACATAACAATGAGGGATTAGTGAAAATTTTAACTTATTTAAAAGTAGCTAAATCTACCAAAAAGCAGTAGCCTTAAATTTGACAAATTATTGCACAAAGTAAAGCACAAACAAATATATACTGTGGATCTAAAAAAAATAAAAATAAAAAAATAAAATAAAAAAAGTCCAAATTGATGCAGAACCCAATATTATTTAGTCATCAAAAATAAAACTGTATTACAGGTCTGTTTTTTCTATTTTTGAATATTACATCAATGTCTTAAATGAAAAAGAAGTGTGTAGTCCTCTCTCACTTACCAAGCTGTAGTGAATCATTTACTGAAGAAAATGTATTATTCTCTTTCACATGGAAGATGTATAAAACACAAAATATAAAGCGTAAAATGAGTTTATATAGTTTAATAACTAATGCAATATTTTGTCCAAAAATAACATTAGTCGTATGAAAATAAACACAGAGGGCCAATAATGTAATGTATTACAATAGATGCAATAATAGAAAAAACAAACAAAGAAACAAATAAATAGTCTGTGTCCACTCACTGCTCTCAAAAGCAACACTACTGAGGGTATAATGATTGTGTTGATAACTGTTAAATTATGAGGATATCACAGGTTTATTCGCTCCAGAAAAGCGTGATTAGGAAATGTCACATCTCAGACTGATGTGGTGAGCTAGAGAGAGAAGAGAGAGGGTGGTATTCCCCATTACTCTCTCCTCTATCCAGCAGAACCTCATATGTACGATCTTCCCCCTGTCAGTGAATGCAGCAGTGCGACCACTGCGTCGCTGTCGTTTGGTTTATGGGAATTGTAGTCTACTTAAACATATGTCCTTCGTATTGTGTGCGGTGGAAAAACTACAAGTTCCAGATTTCACAATGCGGAAGCGACGCAACAAAACACTGAGAGGCTGCAGCACCACAACCGAGAAGATGTCTCATGTCGTAAAGAAAAGAAAATTGGATAAAACGCGACAGGACCGACTGTACTTTGACAGCTATACCGATGTGACCATCCACGAGGAAATGATAGCGGACCACGTCCGTACTAACACGTACCGGATGGCGATACTGAGGAACAGTGAGTCCATACGGGGTAAAGTTGTACTGGACGTCGGGGCAGGAACCGGTGTTTTAAGTATTTTCTGTGTACAAGCCGGTGCTAAGAAAGTGTACGCCGTTGAAGCGTGCTCTATCGCCGAGCAGGCTGTGAAAATAGTCCAACAGAACAACATGGAGGACAAAATTGAAGTCATTCGAGGCACGGTGGAGACGGTGGACCTACCGGAGCAGGTGGAGGTGATAGTGAGCGAGTGGATGGGTTATGCCCTCCTGCACGAGTCCATGCTCAACTCGGTCCTCTACGCGCGCGACAAATGGCTGAAGCCGGGCGGCATCATCCTGCCCAACAAAGCCGAGCTCTACATCGCACCCATCAGCGACCCGGTGGTGGAGGACCGCTTACATTTCTGGTACACCGTCAAAGACCAGTACGGCGTCGACATGTCCTGCATGTCCGACTTCGCCACGAGCTGTATCATGAACTCAGACATCACCGTGAACTCGGTGACGGTGGAGGACGTGCTCTCCCACCCGGCCCGCTTCGCCGAGCTCGACCTGCACTCGGTCACCGTGGAGGAGCTGCGGTCGGTGAAGGGCAAGTTCAGGTGCGAGTCGTTCGGCTCGGCGGCGGTGAACGCTTTCTGTGTGTACTTCACGGTGACTTTCCCCTGCCCGGACAAGCCGCTTGTGCTCTCCACGTCTCCGTTCAACCCGGAGACCCACTGGAAGCAGGCGGTGCTGTACCTGGACGCTCCGGTGAATGTGGTGCAAGACACCGTGGTTACCGGAGAGGTCAGCATGTATCCCTCGGAGGAAAGCGCCAGACATATATGTATCCATGCGGACTACACGATAGGAGAGCAGAAAAAACAGTCCAAGACTTTCTCCATCCCGGACTGGAGCAGTGAAGCTCAGCCATAATGCAGCAGCAACATGTAGTGTTTCATTTCAGTCAGTCTTTGTTTTATTATTACCTGCTCACTGTGAGTGTGAGGGGACGTTTAGCAATGGCTGTATTTCTGACCAGTGTGAACTGAAACCATAATATCACATGAGGTCTAAAATGCATGAAAGGACTGCAGTTGACATCTACACACACATTCAAGAGTTTGTCCCATGGCTCCAGGCTAAAGTTTTTAAACATTTAGAGGGTATTGTTTAAGTAGCCACACACACACACACACAGTGACTACTACAATCAATATGAGAACTACAGTACATGTTGTTTATGGTGTTTTATGCTTGTTTTAACGCCTAATAAATAATTTGACCCCTGAATTGGAATAAGGAATATACTGTTTACTGTAAAACTTCAGTTCAATAGCCCAGGCTTTTACTCAGCCGGCCTTTTTTTGGGATTAGTGTTTAATTCCTTTTGTACCAAACTCTTACTCAGAAAATATGGTAAACACATCAAGTTATATGAATATGAACCAATGTGAATATTACTATCTTGAATAAGGCATCAATTAGGAATCATTCATTTTAACATTCGATACTTGGTGCTCATGTTTTCTGTAAAATGAACAGAACGGTTTAATTGTGGAGAATCTCAGTGATCTAACGATGTGCACAACGTCCATATGGACAAAGGTTAAAACATATTTGTGTAGGCGATCTCAGCAGCTTAGAACTCACTAAAGCGAGCGACCCGGTGGCCTTTAAGAGGCTTTATACACCCCCAGAATATCAGGACATCTTCATTGTCATATCTTGTTTTGACCATCCAGCTGTTCATTCAATTGTTCATTTACTATTACTAATATTAGACTTACTTACTCATTAATGTACCAGTTCAGACAACCAAAGATCCTTACAGTCGAGGAGATGGAATCACCAAATGTTTGATATTTCTGAATCAGAGGTCCCTGAAACAATAGTCTGTGGTTTTAATCAACTAATTATTTCCTCTCTAGTATTGAGGCTTTAACAGTTGTTTTTTAAGTGTTGTTAAAAACAGTATTCGACCCTCACGAGAAACTCTCACACTCCCTACTGATAAATAGTGTCAGGTGGTTGTGTAGCTCTGTGAGGCAAATTTAATTGGAGGTTTTTTACAAATTGTTGAATAAATTCAACGCCATGCTGCAGACATCTGATATTGTAATGAATTTAATCATGCATATTGGGTGGAATCTGATCAAAATGCTGCATTCAGATGAGGATTAGACCAATATATTGACTTGAACTAGCTGTAGTCAGGCAGGAGGCTGTGTTTTCAGTTTTTAATGAAACACTAAATTGGCTCATTATTTTGGTTTCAAACTAGCACACGCTGTCATCTGTCGTCAGAAACCACTGACTTAATCTTGTGCAACAAAGTGTTTCCTCCCTGGCCATTCAGGACTTTTTAATCATCAGCAACAACCAAGGATAAATCTTTTTTCAAAGTTCATAGTTTGATGGCTACATTTGATAATTTATCATTTATCAAGCAAGTTCACTTTGTAAACTACTTTAAAATCAGTGTACATAAAGTGGGTTTAGATTGCTGGAAAGTTTGGTGAGCTGACAGCTGCTGAGATTTGTTTTTGAACAAATGTGTTCAAACAGTGTCATAGAGTCCTGACTGAAAACACATAAGCAAGAATCCTGAGCATGTGTTAACATTACGACAGTTATTTTTAGGAATCATGATAATATCGCACATAATTGGTATCGTCCGCTAATGGCCTTAAAATGAAATATTGGTAGCAGCCCGAAAGGAATATTTCTGCCGATATGACAAGCTGATAAGATGGTACTTTAAGGATGTGCATGCAAGTATGTCTGCGCTGTGGAGGTTTTTTTTAAAGGTGTCCAAAACTGATAGCAACTCTGCTTTTCTTCAACACTACAAAATGTATTTCCTCTCAAAAAGCATTATTTTGATAAACACAACAAATTTGTGAAGAACAAAGAAAAACCGGCACTAGTCAGCAGTAGTTTCCTTATTTTGCTCAGTGAATGCGTACATTCTGAAAAGCATTGTGTTTTATTGCTGCCAGTGGCCCATCGCCATCAGAGCATTCTTGTTAATTCAACAACAGGACAGACTTGATGTTCTCTGCAATTAGGTGGAATAAAATCCGTGCATATATCGGTATCGGCATTCAGCCAGAAAGAGTTGGAAAATATCAGATGTCAGCAAAAATCCAATATTGTGCATATTTATTTTTGTACAGCTTTATTCATACATCCATTACTTTTCACAAAGACTCTGCAGGTTCAGACATTCATATTAAATTACTGTCCCAACTGTTCTTATTTTAAAGAGGCATTAATACAAATGCACATATTGATGATGGATATGTGGATGTTTAAGTAAGAATTCCCACCCTATCAACTGAATTTAAACAAAATATAAATATAATATACTATATGACAATTTGTTCTGTGAAATATGATGTTACTTTAAAGTCAAACCAACAACAATGTGTTGATTAAACCTTTATGTAACTGAAGTAGACAGTGTGGACTGATGAAGTCTGTATCTCAGTGTGCATTGAGTTCAAACCATAAGTTTTGAGTCTCACAGCATAAAGCATCTTTTTCTGCATTCTAGTTATACAGCAGTTAATAAATGCACATGGATTCCTGAAAATGTTAGGTGATAATTTATCTTTCACACCCCATCATCATTTGAAATATGGTGTTCATTTGTTTCAGTGTTGTCAGTACAAATGTGAACCCGCTCTCTAATGAACACGTTGGAAGTTAATCACAAGCTATAGTGTCTACAAATCAAGGGCATTGTCTGTCAGTTTTGGAAAGAGTGAATAATGGCTGAATCACATTTTGTAGCTCTGGTTTCCACTTGGGTAAACTACATTGCAACACTCTCCTGCCTATGAAGAGTAAAAAAAATAAGGACACATCCAAATACTGAATCAGCAGGAAGCAGATTCTTACACTGCCTGCTCCATTTTTAAAATTATATAAATCAAACTGCTAGTTTTGGTCATAATAAACAGGGAAAAAACAGCTAAAGTTAATAAAACCCCAAATAGCCTCTTGAAACAATCTGAAGTGTAAAACTGGCCTTAAGCTACCTTAAATGTTTTTTTTTTACCCTCTTTTTTTACTTAATGTATAAACTTTGGCAGTTTAACTCCATTAAGGAAGTAGAAATGCCAAATCCTACATCTGAGTAAGATGGTGAGCTTCGTGTGAGATATTAGTTCCTTATTGAAATGTGAAAGCAAAGCAAAGACTTAAAACTAAAACACCGAGACATGCTGACAAAGTTTTATGGAGAAATCAGTCCTCGCTGCCTCAACATTCATGGCCTATTGAAGAAAAAAACCCAGCTTTGTATCAAACGTGAAGTGTAAAGTAACAGCAGCTGCAAACAAAACGGCACAGCAATCAAACCCATGACGCGTGTGATCAGTGTAACTGTAGAAACTTGAAGAAAGTAGTCCTCCATGAAGCCTCTCCTGTCACAGCACGCTATACATGAAGGACCATATGGAGCCAGCAACCTGGAAATGTAGTTACTTATTGCTCCTTATGTAACTAACAGTAATCACTTCAGCCTTTGGAGCAGTTTTTGTCTTTACTAACAAGTGATTTCAAATCTGAGGTTGGTTTAAGATCACAGAGTATGAGTTGAATAATACTTAAGAGAACAGTAGATGGGAAAATGGATCATTTGACATGGTATACAATGGTTTTCATAAAACGTTTGAAAAAAAAAAGTATTTCTGTTTTTTTTTTTTACACTTTAATGAAAGAAAATGTAAAATCATGTTCAAATCCAGAGTGCCACGTAGATGTTGCTGCAGTCAAAGCCATTACAGTATGTAATACATGTTCAGTCTTTCTTTCAAAAGTCAAACCAGTCAGGCAGACCACTTCTGCTTGTTGTCAAATGTCAAACAGGGTTTCTTTTCCTCCATCATTGCTCTTTTGTATACAGGGTATACAGTGTGAGTTGGTACTTCAGTGAGTTTTTATTGCCCAAGAAGCACTTTTGTGTCTGAGAAAGACAGAAATAAATTCATACACTTTTCACTCAAATTGAATTCTACACTTGCAGTTGGCCTAATGTGCACGCACAGTGGCTGAATTTCTCCTTAGCCTCTACAGGTGCCTGGGAAAAAAAAAAAAAAAGCAAAAGCCCTGCAGGCAGAACAAAGGAAGGTGTCCAGAGAATGGAAATGTCAAATGCAGTGCAGGCAGCCACTGTCAAACCCAGAATCACACTACTGCATGCATGGCCACTCTTGGCTGCTAAATGCTAAACTAATTGTGATCCATTCCTGCCTAAAATGATTTGGAAACCATTAGTAACAAGTGTTGAAACTTGAAATGGGATTATTTGTCTTGTATTGCACAGCAATTTAGGAGCCAATCAATAGACAATGTGCTTAATCTAACCGATTTCAAGACTCATTGTTTAGTGCGGGACCGGTGAACGAGAGTGAGAGTCCAGGGCTTGGTGAACTGGAACCACAATATGCAGCTGTCTTTAAAACCTGTTTTTCCACTTTTTGTCAATGAAAGTCAGGATTGGTGGGTAGGAATAAAGTGATGTGTTCTAGTATAATAAATTATGTTGTGTTAATCTACAAAAATACATCCAATTCAACACCTCTAAGAAGGTCAGTCAGGTTTCTACAACTGTAGTGTCTGAAAGGGTAAAGCTCAATCAGTGTACATAAGATGAAGTGAAAATATATTGGTTTACACAATTTTGTTCAAATTCCTGGTAATATTTGGCAATATTCCACTTAGAACTGCTGGATTTCTTCCCCCATTCTTGTATAGTTGTTTGAAAACATCTACAAACTACTTTAAATGATAGCACAAATGTTCCTGTGAGATTCAAGTCTGAGCTGACACCTGTGTGAGAGCCCACATATTAGTTTACACATGTCTGTGTGTACAGAGATAAGGAGCAACCAGCCCAAAGAGAGATTCATATATAAAAGTCAACCTCTGGAAAGATCTACGCACACACAGTGAGCATACAAAGACAAGGGTGTACACTATAACCACAGCAAAGTGGTGCATCTGGGCAGGTGCATTTACTCAGAGCAGAGAACTACTTTTTCTTTGTATTTGAGAATAGAGTATGTAATAGAATAGAAACTCACCGCAGACCTATGCGACAATGTAAACCTCAAGTTACAAGTCAACCAAAGACACCAGGTGAAGTTATGTGGTTTTTAAATGACAGCGATGATGGGGGTTTGTCCTTGAGTTGTCTAGCTCTGGAAAGATGGGAACACAACGGCTAGCTCCTCGCGTCTGTGTTGACCACAGCCATCCAGCTCTGTTTACAAGGCTCCTGC